ATCAAGCCCACATCGGGCTCCCTGCTCCGCGGGAAGCCTGCTTCTCCCTCTCCCACTCCCCCTGCTTGTGTTCCCTCTCTCGCTGTGTCTCTGTCTGTCAAATAAATAAAATCTTTAAAAAAAAAAAAAAAAAAAAGAAGTGTGTGTGTTAGGATCAGAGGAAACATGCATTCAACTTATGACTTGTAACAACCCTGATAAGTACTCATTATTCTTTCTGCTTCTGTCCTTCCTACTTCAAAGGCAGGGGCTATGTCTACTGTATCTATTTCAGTACAGCCAGCAACAGTACAGAGTATATACTCAATCCATATTTGTCCAGTAGATGAATACAAATTCAAGAGAATTTTACAAAATTGAGAACATGGTAAAAGCAAACTCGTCATATATGTTAACAGTATAAATACTTTAAAATGTTCATTTTTCTTCTCCTCTTGCAGATTTTCTACATATTTACTAATGCAACTCCTCCTATATCTACTACTTCTTAGCCTTTATAACATCAAAACTACAGAAACACGAACTATCTTCATAAAGTTCTTGTTTGATTTAAAAATTGTAATAGTTTGGGTAATTGGTATGATGAAATTAGCCTTTAAAAACATACTTATTAAAGTTCAATTATATACATATATGTATTTTCATATTTTGAATTCCTGTAACAAATGGAAAATGGTTTTATATACCAAAGGGAATTAACTGCATTCTCTGCCTAGTGATCTTGAGGTTCATATTTGCTAAAAGGAAAAAGTCCTTGTGTACTGGAAGGATCACAGATCAATTCTACTGTAATCTAATAAAACTTTAAAACTAAATGAACATTATGAAGTTCATGTATTGCATTCACTAGCAAAATCTTACAGGTAGTCACTGAAATTTTTCTAAATGATTAAACTATACAAAAAATAAATAAATGAGTAAACCACAACCAAAACACGTAAGAGAAAGAAACAGAGCTTAAATGATTTCTTTTTGTCAACTTCCTAACATTCTTTAGGCCATGGATATCTGAATAGGTAGTACAATGTGCCATAATTATAGTTTTATTTTATTATTTTTAAATATTTTATTTATTTATTAGACAGAGAGAGAGAGAATAAGCAGGGGAGCAGGAGAGGGAGAAGCAGGCTCCCCACTGAGCAGGGAGCCCAATGCAGCCTGGGATCATGACCTGAGCCAAAGGCAGTTGCTTAACCAACTGAGCTACCCAGGCGCCCCCATAATTATAGTAACCTTTCTGTATCTCCCAATAATTTTTTTTTTAAGATTTTTTTATTTATTTGGCAGAGAGAGATACAGCGAGAGAGGGAACACAAGCAGCAGGAGTGGGAGAGGGAGAAGCAGGCTTCCTGCGGAGCAGGGAGCCCGATGCAGGGCTCGATCCCAGGACCCTGGGATCACGACCTGAGCCGAAGGCAGACGCTTAACGACTGAGCCACCCAGGCGCCCCTGTATCTCCCAATAATTTAACACAAAGTGGTAACATGCGTCTGAAGGACATGCTTGCTTATGTATGAATGTGTGTATATATGTGAATGTGGATATGCACATTAAGCATACACATATTAAGACATAATAGGGGCGCCTGGGTGGCTCAGTTGTTAAGCGCCTGCCTTCGGCTCAGGTCATGATCCCAGGGTCCTGGGATCGAGCCCCACATCGGGCTCCCTGCTCAGCAGGAGGCCTGCTTCTCCCTCTCCCGCTCCCCCTGCTTGTGTCCCCTCTCTCACTGTATCTTTCTCTGTCAAATAAATAAATAAAATCTTAAAAAAAAAAGACATAATAGATTAGGTGCGTGCGCACACACACACACACACACAAACACACACAAACACATTTTAAAGGAATTCTGGCTCTCATCAAAGCAGTTTACCTTCAGCCAGTTTAACACATGTGGCAGAGTTCTAAATACACAGTAAGTGATTAGTAAGTACATCAGTTGACATGAATTGTGGAAATGAAAGTACTATCAAGGTAATATTAAAATATAGCTGTAAATGAGAATTAAAAAGTTCAAAATTACCAAAAAATGTTTCTTTTGTCTATTTTAAAGTATAAGGACCCAACCAATCCTTATTCTCTCTCTCTCTCTCCTCAAGCCATCTGTATTTAAACAACTGTGAGCCAGGGACTGGACAGATTTTTGTTTCCTGCCAGAAGTTTAGCTGCCAGACACCAAAGCAGCAACATGAAACTAAAAAATGTTAAAAATCTAAGTTGCATTCTTTGTTTTGGGAAACATATCTCTGTGGATTCTTTTTTTTTTTTTTTTAAAGATTTTATTTATTTATTTGAGAGAGAGAGCATGCACAAACAGGGGGGAGGGGCAGTGGGAGAGGGAGAAGCAGACTCCCTGCTGAGCAGGGAGCCCGATGGGGGCTTGATCCCAGGACCCTGGGATCAAGATCTGAGCTGAAGGCAGATGCTTAACCATCTGAGCCACCAGTTGCCCTTCTCTTTGGATTCTTAAAGAAGATATGGTGATCTCAGATGCCAGTAAAGGGCCTAATGAATGTTCCGGGGCTCCCCAAAGGAACACAGGGCACTGCAGACCTTCACATTGAGGACACAACCCTGAAAGCATATTCTGTGGCCAAGAGTAAAACCAGAGCCTCACAGCCCTTAATGTGGTCACCAATCACTTCATGAAGAAAATGGGCGGGAAACACACAAGTGAGAAAGACAGTGTGGATATGGTGGCTTTGGTAGAAATCCAAGGTGGGGTCTTACTAGTCATTGGTGTCACTGCTTGAATCATCACTGTGGTTGTAAGGAAAATATCAAGCAATTACTAAAGAATTGAAGAATTATGTCATTTTGACAACATTTAAAACACTGTCCCTTGCCAGTGTTAGAATATGACCCACGGAAATGCTGCCTATGCAGTTCTAAAGCCATGGAGATCCCTCACTTTCCAGAAGCAACGGAAAGAAAGGTAAATTGTAAGACACTCTGCTCTTTAAACATTTTCTCTTTTTATAAAATTCTATAAAACTGCTTATAAAATAGGGCGCCTGGGTGGCTCAGTTGGTTGAGCGACTGCTTTCGGCTCAGGTCATGATCCTGGAGTCCCTAGATCGAGTCCCGCATCGGGCTCCCTGCTCTGCAGGGAGTCTGCTTCTCCCTCTGACCCTCCCCCCTCTCATGTGCTCTCTCTCTCTCATTCTCTCTGTCTCAAATAAATAAATAAAATCTTTTAAAAAAAAAGTGTTTATAAAATAAAATACATAGAAAACAGGAACAAAAGTAAACTGACTTGGAACCAAGATAATAAAATTCACTCAAATCATATTAGAAACTCTGTGCCTTCATTTTGACTATTCTTTGTTCTTGTTAAGATGCAAAGCAATCTGGAAATATCTATACATATATATACATGTACATACACACAAACATATACAAATGAAGCCCATATAGACTAGCCACAAGAGGGCGCTTCAACAATGAAAACACACCACCAGGCTTCTTTAGATGCTTATTTCATTCAGTAAGTACTGGGCACACATTTTCAAACTTTTGAAAACAAATTCCTACTCAAAATTATTCTTATTTTTCTATAGCCATAAGCCTTGCCAGATGCCCACATTTTAAGAGTGTCTCTCCACATCTTAGACTCTAAATCTTCTGAACTAGAGGGTTAGTGCATCTAGTACTTAGTAAATGAGTCCTTACACTATCACATACAGATTAAAATGATGAACAACAAAACTGCCATGCTGTACATAGGATGTTAGGACGCAGCCATATACAAGGCTTAGGAAAACTTTACTACTGAAACAGAAAAACCAGGTTCTTCCATCATGATCATTTTAAGCTGCCATATTTTAGAATATTTTTGAGTCTGGGGGCACCTGGGTGGCTCAGTCGTTAAGCATCTGTCTTCGGCTCAGGTCATGATCCCAGGGTCCTGGGATCGAGCCCCGCATCAGGCTCCCTGCTCTGCAGGAAGCCTTCTTCTCCCTCTCCCACTTCCCCTGCTTGTGTTCCCTCTCTTGCTGTGTCTCTCTCTGTGTCAAATAAATAAAATCTTTAAAAAAAAAAAAAGAATATTTTTGAATCTGGCCCATACGATAACGGTTTTCACTTTATTATTTTTTTTAAGATGTAAAAAACGGGCTCCTGGGTGGCTCAGTCATTAAGCGTCTGCCTTCGGCTCGGGTCATGATCCCAGGGTCCTGGCATCGAGCCCCACACCAGGCTCCCTGCTCCACGGGAAGCCTGCTTCTCCCTCTCCCACTCCCCCTGCTTCTGTTCCCTCTCTCGCTGTGTCTCTTCAAATAAATAAAATATTAAAAAAAAAAAAAAGATTTAAAAAAACATATTTTATTTATTCATTTGACACAGAAAGAGAGAGAATAAGCAAGGGGAGTGGCAGGCAGAGAGAGAGGGAGAAGCAGACTCACTGCCAAGCAGGGAGTTCAATGCATGGCTCGATCCCAGGACCCAGGGATCGTGATCTGAGTGGAAGGCAGATGCTCAACGGAATGAGCCACCCAGATGCCCCTTTTTATTAAGATTTATTTATTTATTTGAGAGAGAGAGAGGGCATAAGTGGGAGGGGCAGAGGAAGAGGGAGAGGGAAAATCCCAAGCAGTCTCCACACCCAGCGCAGAGCCCAACGTGGGTCTCGATCTCAGGACCCCGTGATCATGACCTGAGCTGAAATCAAGATGAAATGCTCAACCAACTCAGCCACGCAGACGTCCCTGGTTTTTACTTCAAAACAAAATATAACATTTCCATGTAATTACTATTAGAAATGGTATGTCAGGGGGCACCTGGGTGGCTCAGTCGGTTAAGCGGCTGCCTTCGGCTCAGGTCATGATCCCGGAGTCCTGGGATCAAGCCCCGCATCGGGCTCCCTGCTCAGTGGAGAGTCTGCTTCCCCTTCTCCCTCTGCCTGCCTCTCTGCCTACTTGTGCTCTCTATCTCTCTGATAAACAAACAAACAAACAAACAAATAAATAAATAAATAAGAAATGGTATGTCAGGATCTATACCTAGAGAGACTTCCTTAATTAGCTCAGCAGCAGCATGGCAACCCTGAACAAGTATCCTGGTCCAGGTTGACAGATCCCGATGTGTCTCCACCCTGAAGAGATGCATCTCAATGCCCTGCCGAGAGCCTGTTCTGGTAGCAAAGGTAAGGTCAGATCCAAGTGAGGGTGATCGACATCCGGAGCCAGAATGAACCAACCTAGGACCACAAAGAGGGCAAAGATCAAAAGTAATTAATGTACTGGTATAGGAAAATGTCAGCAATTTATGCTGATAAATAAGCAGAGAGTTATAAAAGCCATCTGTAGTTTTTGGAAAAGTACGTTTCAAAACAATATTATAGTCTTTGAAGTATATACCATTCTGTTTTCCCACAAAATGACCCCTTGAGTCACAGGCAGAACACTGGGCTGGATGAGCTAAGGCCAAATTTTCCATTGGCCTTTTTATGCTCTGAAAAGGCTGTGCATGTCAAAAAAAAAAAAAAGGTTCAATTTTGATTAGGAAGTGTTAAGCCCCCACATACGAACAGCCTCCCTTACTATCAACATCACTCACTAGATGGTACTTTTTTTTTTCTACCAAGAATGAGCCTACACTGACACATCATAATCACCTGAAGTCCATAGTTTACTTTAGGGGTCACTCTTGGTGTTGTACATTGTATAGGTTTGGACAAATGTGTAACGACATATATCCATCATTATAATATACAGAGTATTTTCAATGCCCTAAAAATCCTCTTTGCTCTGTTTATTCATCCCCTCCCCCTCCTCCTAGCAACCACTTATCTGTATACCTTTTACTTCCTTTTCTTAACTTAGTGCATTAGCAAGGATTGCTGGTATGATGTTGAAAAGAAGTGGCAAGAGGGGACAGGACATCCTTGCCTTATTCCTGATCTCAATGGGAAAGCTTCGTGTTTGTCACTATTAAGCATGATACTGGCAATAGATTTTTTGTAGATCGTCTTTATCAAGTTGAGAATGTTCCCCTCTATTCCTAGTTTACTTTTTTTTTTAAAGATTTTATTTATTTATTTGAGAGAGAGAGAATGAGAGAGAGAGAACACATGAGAGGGGGAGGGTCAGAGGGAGAAGCAGACTCCCTGCTGAGCAGGGAGCCCGATGCGGGACTCGATCCAGGGACTCCAGGATCATGACCTGAGCCAAAGGCAGTTGCTTAACCAACTGAGCCACCCAGGCGCCCCCTAGTTTACTTTTTTTAATCATGAACAGGTGTTGGATTTTGTCAAATGACTTTTCTGCATCTCTTGATAGATTCATATGATTTTTCTTGTTGAGCTTGTTGATGGGATGGATTACATAACTGATTTTCGAATATTGAACCAGCCTTGCATATCTGGGATCAATCCCACTTGCTCATGGTGTATAATTCTTTTTATACTTTTTTGGATTTGATTTGCTAATATTTTGTTGAGGACTTTGCATATATATTCATAAGAGATATTGGTCTACAGTTTTCTTATAATGTCTTTGTCTGGTGTTGGTATTAGGGTAATGCTAGCCTCACAGAATGAGTTAGAAAGTATTCCCTCTGCTTCTATCCTCTGAAAGAGACTGTACGGAATTTCTTCCTTAAATGTTTGGTAGAATTCACCAATGAACCCATCCAGGCCTGGTGCTTTCTTTTGGAAGACCTTACACTTTACACAAAAAGTAACTCAAATGGATCTTAGATCTAAATGTAAAATGCAAAAGTATAAAACTTCAGAAGACATCGTAAGAAAAAATTGAGGTCATCTAAAAAGATACAACACCAAAAGCATGATTCATGGGAAAAAAATTGGTAAGTTGTACTTTCTAAGTTAAAAACTTCTGCTTTGAAAGACACTGTAAAAGAATGAAAAGACAAGCCACAGAATAGGAGAAAATATATGAAAAACACATATTTGATAAAGGACTAATATCCAAAATATACAAAGAACTCTTAAAACTCAACAATAAGAAAACAAAAAACCCAGTTAAAAGATGGGGGGAGAAAAAGGGCAAAAGACTCACTTCTTGGTATATATCCCAAAGAATTGAAATTAGATTCTTGAGATATTTTACATCTATGTTCATAGCAGCATTATCCACAATAGCCAAGAGGTAGAACCAACTTAAATGTCTACTGGCAGAATGAATGACTAAAGAAAATATGGTATATACATTCAACAAATTATTATTCAGTCTTAAAAAGAAGGAAATCTTGTTATACATGCCAACACACATGAACCTTTTAGACATTATACTAAGTGAAATAAGCCAGTCACAAAAAGGCAAATACTGCCTGACTCTACTAATATTAGCTACCTACAGACCAACTCTTAGAAACAGAAAGTACAATGGTAAGTTGAAGCCAGTAAGTCATATCAGCGACTGTGCATCTCAGGGTTTTAATGAAATGCTCACATGAACACTTCATTTAACTCCTGATTGACTGGAGAAGGGACCATTATTTCTGATAAATGTTGTACCTGGGGATTTGCAAGTCTAATCTGTTCTAAAAGCTTTTATTTTTAGGCTGTGAAAATTATGATAAAAATGAGACATAATTGGGGTGCTTGGCTGGCTCAGTCAGTAGAGCATGTGATTCGACCTCAGGGATTTAAGTTCAAGTCCCCTGCTGGGTGTAGAGATTACTTAAAAATAAAATCTTTTTTTTTTTTTTTTAAGATTTTATTTATTTTTTTGACAGAGAGCACAAGCAGGGGAGTGGCAGGCAGCAGGAGAGGGAGAAGCAGGCTCCCCACTGAGCAGAGGGCCCGCCGTGAGGCTTGATGCCAGGACCCCGGGATCATGACCTGAGCTGAAGGCAGACACCCAACTGACTGAGCCACCCAGGTGCCCTTAAAAATACAATCTTAAAAAAAAAAAAGAATGAAACATATTAGTTTCTGTTCCTAAAGTAAATAGCCAGTGAAAACTGATTTCCTAACCTTTGGAACTACTTGACTACAACTTTTGACTCCCATTAACTTGAGATGTAACTATATTAACAAAACAAAAATGATGTGCCATCTTTTTACTTTGAAAAGTGAGTTCCAACTCATTTGGGGGGGGTAGGTAGTGATGCTCCTGAAATATTTTTAGATGTAACAAAATGAGAGCTTGAATTAATCATTTTGGGGAAAGGGTTCAAATCAAGTATGAGACAGCAATGACACAAAGTACAGAAGAGAAAAACCACTGAGAAACAATTAGCAAAAAACCTTAGAGTTTCTATTATACACTGTATATACTCTGCCCCATGAGATGGTCCTAAGAATAGAGTTTCAAGGACAAAGAAAAGAAATATAACATTCATGAACTAAAAACTATTTTCATAGGAAAAGAGCAGAATACTGTCTATGAAAGTAGTAAGTGTTAACAAAATATATATATATATTTTAAGATTTTATTTATTTGACAGACAGAGACACAGCGAGAGAGGGAACACAAGCAGGGGGAGTGGGAAAGGGAGAAGAAGGCTTCCCACTGAGCAGGGAGCCCGATGTGGGACTCGATCCCAGGACCCTGGGACCATGACCCAAGCCGAAGGCAGACGCTTAATGACTGAGCCACCCAGGTGCCCAACAAAATATATTTCAAAAATCCCTTCAACTGGGGCGCCTGGGTGGCTCAGTCATTAAGCGCCTGCCTTCGGCTCGGGTCATGGTCCCAGGGTCCTGGGATCGAGTCCCACATCGGGCTCCCTGCTCAGTGGGAAGCCTGCTTCTCCCTCTCTCACTCCCCCATCCTTGTGTTCCCTCTCTCGCTGTGTCTCTCTCTGTCAAATAAATAAATAAAATCTTTAAAAAAAAAAAAATCCCTTCAACTAACAGTGAAAAGCTTCCCACAAAGAAAATCTGAAGCCCAGATGGTTTGCTGGTGAATTCCACCAATTATTACAAAAAATAATTAATGCCAATTCTTCATAAATTCTTCAAAAAAGCATAAGTGGGAATACTTCCTAACTCATTCTATGATGCCAGTAATACCCCAAAACCAAAACAAAAGACATCTAAAAAAAAAAGAAAACTACGGACCAATATCACTTATGAGTGTAAGACACAAATATCCTCATCAAAATATTAGTAAACTGAATCTAGTATGACCAAATAGGACTCATCCTAAAAGTGCAAGGTTGGGGGCGCCTGGGTGGCTCAGTTGGTTAAGCGACTGCCTTCAGCTCAGGTCATGATCCTGGAGTCCCAGGATCGAGTCCCACATCGGGCTCCCTGCTTGGCAGGGAGTCTGCTTCTCCCTCTGAACCTCTCCCCTCTCGTGCTCTCTCACTCTCTCTCTCTCAAATAAATAAATAAAATCTTTAAAAAAATAAATAAAAATAAATAAAAGTGCAAGGTTGAACATCCGAAAATTAATATGGTAATACACCATATAAACAGGTAAAGGACAAACCCACATGATCATTGTATTAGACATGGAAAAAGCATTTGACAAATTCCATACCCTTTCATGAGGAAAACATCTCTTACAAACATGGAAGAGAAGGGAACTTCTTCAACCTGATAAAGGTATCTATGAAAAACCCATACCTAACATCATGCTTAATGGTAAAAGACTGAATGCTTTCCCCTTAAGATCAGGAAAAAGACAAGGATGTCTGTTTATGCCACTTCTATTTAATATTGTACTGGAGATTTTAGCCAGAGCAATTAGGCCAGAAAATGAAATAAAACGTATCCAGAAAAGAAAGTAGTACAACTACCTTTTATTTGAAGATGACATGATCTTGTACATAGAAGTCCTAAGGAATCCACTAAAAACCTACTAGACTAATAAACGAGTCAAGCAAGAATGCAGATCAAGATATAAAAATCAATGTATTGGGGCACCTGGGTAGCTCATTCGGTTAAGTGTCTGACTCTTGATTTCGGCTCAGGTCATGATCTCAGGGTCGTGAGATGGAGCCCCGCCTTGGGCTCCATGCTGAGCATAAAGCCTGCTTAAGATTCTCTCTCTCCCTCTCCCTCTGCCCCCCCCAAAAAAATCAATGTATTGACTGTATATAGTAGGAGCGAAGATTCTAAAAAGGAAATTAAGAAAAAAAATCCATTTGCAATAGATCAAAATGAAAAAATACTTAGGAATAAATTTAGCAAAAGAAGTATAAAACTTACACTAAGAAAACTACAAAACATTGCTGAAATAAATTAAAGACCTAAGTAAATAAAAAGATACCCTGTATCATGGA